CTGAGGCAGCCGCTGCCCGGGAGCGGGGCTTTAGAAATCCGAGCCGGACCGCGGGGCCGCTTGTTGTGTGCGCAGCGTGCGGGGCGGGACGCGAGAGCGAAGGGTGAGGCGGTCATTCTCTGTAGTTAATTCTCCTGATTTGATTTTTCTCAGGACGTGTGGTAGCTTGGTCTTAGACTTGTCTCTACGTATATATATATAATGTATTTCTCTCTTTGGCTGTGTGTTCGTTCTTGTTTTAATCGGTGCTGTGTGGACTTTCCAAATTGGAAACACCTACATCTTTTGCAAAACATGTCTCTCATCAAAAAAAGGAGGATCAATAGTCCTCAATTTCATTTTTAAGAATAGATCGGTATTAATTGGTGCGGTTTTGTTACACTAGAACAGTTTGGAACCTAATGGGAGGTAGCTACTTTTTTTATAGCAATAATTAGGCAAATCGCCAGAGATCTTAATGTATAAACTGTGCTGTAGCTTGTTTTGTCAAATGCAATAGCAATATATATACACACTTTATATATCTGTGTCTGTATATATAAACAGACTTCACTATTCAAGCACATCGGCCTAGGTGTTGACCATTTGAGCTGAAGAAGGCTTTTCCTAAACTACTACTGCTACGTATAACAGGAGTTCAAGACTTAGAAGCAATTCAGTCTGATAGCTTTGAAAAAATTATCTTTGGAGTTAATGTCAGTACTTGCGGCCTTGGTGGCAGTCTCATGTGTTTCATTTGTGGAAATCTGTCGTACTTCCGGAGGAAAAATGTGTGAAAGTAACTCTGCACAACTCTCCAATGCTGTGCAGTAAAGTGTGCTCTTCTTTGAAAAATTTCTGTGCGGCTCAAGCCAGAGTCGTGTTAAAAGCCGGTGGGCCGTACTTTTGGATCGCTCAGTCACAGCTTTTGTAATTCACCCTCCCAAATGTCAGCAGTGTGCAGATGTAGAGGTTAAAAGAAAGAGGTAGGAACCACACGAGGGTTGCGAGTGCTTGGGAGATTAACAGCGAAGGCTTAATAGTTAACTTAGCTAGGCTTTCAGCTGTTCGCTAGAGACCAGAGCAGGGAGCTGGAAAACCAAGTTAAAATGGTCTTTGAGGGAGTAATTCCAACTGAGAGTAGTAGTTGCTTTGTTAATTACCCTTTGCTAATTAAATTCAAATTAAATGCTACTATCCTGTGTAGCAGTGGAATGCAGTGAACTCGCATTTCTGTGTGCTGAGCCAACTTCGTGCGATGTGGCAGCTGAGCTTAAAATAATAGTTAACCACTGAACTTTGCAGCCCCGATGAGGAGGGTAAGCCTACCGAGCAGCGATTTTCTAGGGTGTGTGCATATAAATATTTAATCTTTTATAGATTTCAATCCAGTAAAAATGTGGTGGCATGTTTGAGATGTTAAATGAAGACATTTAAACCCCAAACAGGGAGATAGGGCACCTTTTAATTTTGCCTGGAATTTTGGTAATAAAAATGTAACTTGCATATGATTATTACTGACTTATGTATTTCATTGCAATTTGAAATTATTTCTCTAGCGGTTTCTAAGAGGCTGTTGCTCATGAAATATTGAACCAATGACCCAAGCTATTCAATGATGATGAAAGGCCCAATCTAACATTTTATTGAACATGGCATTTATGAAAAATGAAACTGCTCATTTCTATTACATAATCAATAGCGCATTAAACCATTTATCATGAGTTTGGTTAAAGAATGCCTTTTTAGACCTATTTGTTCCCCTGCCTTCTCAGTCGAGTTTAAATTCCATGTCTGAGAAAGCACAAGGTAGTAAAAAGGGAAGAGCTACTCTGTAGCTACCTTTACTCTCTTGGGGCCAGCAAATTTGGCAGATCCCCTTTTGCTATATCGTTTAGAAATACTAACATGAAATAGTACAAAGTGCAGAGAAAACATTTATTCTAAGCCGTCCTCAAAATGGAACGGATTTCTAGCTTTGGTACACAAATGAATGCATTTCTTTCATGAAAACCCAGACTCTCCTTACCACAAGTTGGAAAAAAGATGTTACTTTAAGAAATGAACTTTTAGGGCCTTTATTTCCATGGTGAAAGCATGGAAACTGTGAAGGTTTCAGTCACTGAAGAGCATTAAGAGTAAATGGAATTTGTGTCTTTAAATTCTGTTATCAAAAGTGATTTTCTGGATGCCCCTTTCTCTCTTGCTGGCCTTGTATTCCTGTCCGTTGTAACCCCTGGCTATAAAAAAAGGGATGACATTTGCTTGAAGGAGGCCAGCAAGTACCCGTCATGTTGTTTTGGTTATTTTACTCTGCATATTTCTCCTGGTGCAGAGAAGTGGCGTCCTGCTTCCTGTGCCCCGGGAATTCATTCTTGCCTGGACAGTTTTGTAACTGGCCAGTTGGTAGCTCTGTGAAGCTGCATGTGCTGCCTGTGCCTTTTGGGGAAGTTCTGGTTGATTTTGGCAACTGCACTTCTAAATAGGTGTTAACCAGCCTCCAAGGAATAGACAGCTGCTGCGATACGAGGACTGTTGCAGGAATGACATGAGAAAGGGGAAGTTACCAGGACTCTCTAGAGTCAAAAAATAATATTGCTGTGAGGTTGTCTCCTGCGAGATGGTAATGGAGGGAGTGGGGTTTTTATTCCATTGATTCTGAAAGAGCCATCCGAAATCTGTTTCCACCGCGTGTCTTTGGAACGAGGCCAGGTGCTGTCTGAAATTCCAGAGTGGCTGGAACAGGGCTTTTTTTTTTTTTTTTCTTGATGCATTTAGTGACACGCTGTTCTTCTGGTTATCCATCTACTGCAGGTGAGTGTGTTTTTGAGGGCAGATGATGCGCCTTCCTTTCTTACAGCACAACAGGGAGCCCTTGCTGTATAGGAAGGGAGGTGCGAGGGAGCATAGCAGTGAAGGGATGAATGTAACACTGTAGGTTTACATTTCTTACCTTTACTGCTGTGGAATGTCAGTGAATTTTGATAGTTATAGTATCTACTTGAGGTTTTAAGATTGAAATATGAGTAGAATTTGATGCACATCTCTGGATTTAAGTGTTTTTATCCTGAGGTGACTTTATTTTTCTTTGCTCTTCTGCATTGAACTGGGGAGACGGTAGTTGCCTAATAAAAATAATGTATGAACACAGATTGCTTGGGTGTTTGTTTGGTTTTTTTTTTACTTAACTTTTTATACCTAGGTATATACACTGATGAGCTGTTGCTGTCACTTGTTGCAGTATAAATAGCGTGGAAAATACTGGTGTGCATAATTGAACATTTCATTAACTTACGTAATGAAACAAAAGTCCATTCTTTATTTTGTGTAAATAAAAGTAGTGTAATGTAATAGCTGATGGACTTCCCTTTTAGGGCTGATCTTGAGAATGGTCTTTTTTTAGCTAGCATTGGTTGTACTTTAATTCATTTTCACTGCTTTTCACAGGCCTCTCAGGAAGAGCTAAAAGCTGCCTACCGCCGACTGTGTATGCTGTACCATCCAGACAAGCACAGAGACCCAGAGCTCAAAACGCAAGCTGAGCGGCTGTTTAACCTTGTTCACCAAGCTTATGAAGGTCAGTGGAAGTCTGAAGTTTGCAGAAACTGTTTTCAGGGGTTTTCTAGAAGGAGGGCTGTGTCTTCATGCCTTTTTAAGAAGATAGATATTATAACAAAGTAATAATAAAATTTGCTGATACTTAGCGATCGTTTGTTTCCTGCTTCTGTCCTGTAAATCGGAGGAGCAATGCAGTATAAATTCTGCAGTGAACAAGATGTGGAGTCCCTGTCTTATTTCGTGCATGTTGTAAATAATCTTTTCACCACTTCCCTTACTTCTGAAAAGACTCTCCCATAAGAGGCTGAAGACTGAAAAGCTTCAAACAGAAAGACAATTTCATATTTTACTTTTGAACTGATGCATCCTGAATTTCTGTTCTCTGTCACCTGGTTGTGTTCTCCATTGTTTTTCAGCAAGTTCTTCCATATTCTAGGACTGATGTAAGGACAATGGATTCATAGCAGTTAGAGTTTTTTTCTCATCCAAGGATTCCAAAGCCCTTTAAAAATATTCTGAATTAAGACGACATACACTTAAATCCTGGTGTCACCATAGGTAATACATAGTGTAACTGATGCACAAGGAAGTGATTCATTAGAATTAGCTTGCAGCATTTTGCAAGTGTGATAAGAGGCACCTGGAATGCAAATGGATTAGAAGCTGGTAGGATTCTTCTGCATTAAAAAACTGGTGCAGCAAACTAGATGCCCGGTCCTGTAGCCTAAAGAGAAACTAAAGCAAAATGATGTATAAATATTCCTCTATTAAACATCAAAGATGAGCTAAAAATCTTTTTTTTACTCTCATGTTTTCTGAATGATAAGCATTTGTTTTTTCCAGTTGGACTTGGACATGGGTGGAGTCTTTTACATTGTCCCTAGTTAGGCATTAGGACATACGGAAGCTTTTGCTGGGGAGAATAGTGAAGGTCTTACATTGATGACAAGGGGAATAAAAACTCAGGATGCTTCAATAATTTCATTTTAATGTGGTGAGTAGGTCTTACATTAGAGTTAGCTTTCCCTTTGAATTTTGTGGCTTTGCTTGGCTCTGTGTTGCGATGTATATGTAAAGCATTGCTCATTTAGTACCAAATGTGAGCGTAATATTTTACAAGCAAAAATTCTGACATCTTGAAAATAAGCCACCCCACCTCCTGCCTATTTTCTCCCCCTCCTCTTCCATCTCTTAGTATCACACAACAAAAGGTTTCTTTTTATCAGAACATATAAAAAATAGTGTCTGCCTGTGACATTTAGCAAGTTCAGTCATCTTCAAGTAGTTCAGATCAAAGCTCAATTACTAGTATAAGCCCTTTTTTGCCTTAATACATACACACAGCTCCCTGAAGACTCATCAGTTCCTCCACAGTCAAAAGAGATACGTGACAATGATAAAGTTGGTCTTGGAACCCTGTGGGAAAAATACTGATGATGTTTTAATGTTGTTTTTTTTTAAGGAAGGGTGTGGTATGGGAGATTATGCGTTTAAATATGCCTTACATTTTAGAGATTCTTCTTAATTCTATGTGCAGTCTTTTTCCAAACTAACTGTTTTGCAGTCTCCTGGTGTATTTTATTTTATCCATTGCATTGGGTGACCTTTTGGGGGATTCACATTCTACGTGCATTTTTGCAATTACCCTGTAGTTGATGTTTGGCAAGGCATGAGCTGCCTCATGGAAATTGCTTTGTTGGTGCTTGGCACGTCCCACATGTTTGGACTGGGTGGGAAAGGATCAGTGGACAGGGATGGTAAGGAAGATCGAAGACAGGGAGCTTTGAAAGCTAGACAGAGGTAGATGTCATTCCTCCTCAGAAAGTTTCCAGGGACTGCTATTGCTGAATTGCTAATAATCCCATTGATTGTTAGAGGGCTTACATCACCCTTCAGTCAAAGAAAGCAATCTTAAAAAACCCCGCTGCATATTCAGGTAGTCTGCATGTCTCTTTTGTGTTCTTTTCACTTTTTGATTTTAGAAGTAAGAAGAAAAAAAAAAAAAAAAGGAATTTTTTGGGGGGGAAAAGTC